CTCTGTCCCTGAGCATTATAACCCCAATTTGCTATTGTGTGCTGCGCATTTTACTGAGGACAGCTTCCACAACACGAGGGAGTACAGTGCCGGATTCGCCAAAAGCTTTTGTTGACAGACGGAGCAAGGGGCGTGGCAGTACTGAAACACCGTCTAAGCTGTTCGCCAATCACAACGCACTGGGACAGCTAATCAATCACAACACATTTTGTTTTTCGGAAGGCGGACCTTCATCAAAGCTGGAACTAATTGAGCCGTTTGTGCCAAGCTGGGGAGAAATGTATTTTAATAATGTAAATTATGTGAAAATAATGCGTTTTTCGAACCACCAAGCATGAGAGCATGTTCTAGTACACCCCCAAAACAAAATCAAGACTTTGTAAAAGAGCATAATAGGACCCCTTTAAAGTTGGTTTTGATGCACCTTCCTTCATTCCCATTCTGTCTTTACTCTCTGGAGTAATTTTACTTTTTTAAAGCTTCCGTTCCCTTGAAATGATCTAGTCATATTGTTCCTTTACCTTGAATTCCATCAGCTTTCTTCACTGGCTGTTTTCTCCTCTCAACTCATTTTGAAGTTTTATGATCAAAATCTGCTCTGTGCAGTGATTTGAGAGCACAAAGATGTGAGTTGTGCATCAGAGCATAGTGGAGAGGTGGTTGCTGTGTCGTCCTTTGGAGGGAGAGGTGGTCACTTGGAGGCCAATTGTTATTTAATCTTGTCTGAGCAGTAGCACTGATTTACTGCAGCCTTTAATGGTGCAGCTGGCTCTCTGTTCTCTACTCGGCAGTACTGGCTGCATTTATCAGTTCTGATTAGTCACATGCTTTCCAAATTAACTCATCATGCCTTATGATCCTTATGACCCAGTGTGACAGCTTCCTCTCCAGTCATCATCACTCCTGTTTTACCCACCATGGCAGTGAGCTAATAGACTCTATGATTCGAGTGAATCTGTGTGATGGAGCTGTATCGTAAATGGTTGCAGCCTGTAACAATATGGGCTTCCAGTGGACTTCTTGCACTGACCTCAGAGATGCCAAGCACCATTTCCCTCAATCATTGGGATCAATGATATGCTATTATAGTTTTTGTTTATATATTTCGGATTATATTGTATTTTTATATTTTCTGTTTTCATTTTAATTTTTGCCAAGGTTTTAGTATTTTTGTTTGTTTTTGT